ACCTAANACCTAACNCAACTACACACTAAACCACACACACTACANACTANATATATATATATTATATATATATTATATATATATATATATATATATGTATGTATATATATATGCATACATACATACATACATACATATATGCATACATACACACATACATACATATATATATATATATATACATGCATTCATACACACACACACACACACAAACATACAAACATACATACATACATACAAACATACATACATACATATATATATATACATACATAAGTTAATACGGATAGCGACACACACGCACACCTTCTCGGCTTCAAAACATTCCAGCAACCAGTGTAAGCTGACCACATTTCTCGTTGTAAAGTGTTTAATCACTGATCGAGTCTTCAGCGTATTCTGTGTAAAGGGTATTTCGTTCAAAATGTGTGGCCTGGAGTGAGTGCGAATGCTTACAAGGCCGCTCTGTCTTGTACTCAACAAAGCAATCGACTGTACTGGGGATAGTTTATCGTTCTGTAGAGAAACCAAGTACCCTACGCAAATGGACAAAACAAATACCTTTCCGATAATAATATAATTCGCATCCGTAGCTGTAGGTTTAGATCTGCCGCCCAACTTAGCAATCACCTTTTCTAAATCGGGTTTCCGTTTCCCGGGCTCGTCAATGTCGGAGGCAATGTGAATCACCAAACCTTGGAATGTGTCACTTTCCACTTTGACATCTGATGTGTCAGTTATTTTCCCCGTGCCCGCCCATTTTATCTCTTGTCGTCTGGTTTTTTTGACCTTTTGTGGAGTTATTTTCCTGCCAATGGCGATATGAGGTTTGAGGCGATTAGGCCGAATGGTTGCAATGTGGTACAAAGTGTCCGATACGGCAGAATCATGCTGTTGCAGTCCCAGACGCTGGATTCCAACATAATCTATCATGGACCCTTACAGTGCCACGAGTACATGATCAAAAGATAGCCAGCGAGAGCCAGTTGCTTACGAGCATGTCATAGAAGTACCTGTGTGAATAATCCATTAAGTCCCGCCCTGCCCCCCCCCCCATATGAGAAAATCACCAGCCCGCAGGTGTGGTTGCAACAGCCACTTTCAGACTTACCGTTGCGACTGCAGAGCCGTCAAGTTCATGCCGTCTTGTACTCGTTTGGCCAATGAGACATCTGTTTCGATCGTCTGATAGTCCTTGTCCGTCCGCAATTCCTTCAATCGAGGAAACAGCAGAGTGTGCGATGTAGCGTAGTTGTTGGTCGGTACCAGCTGCGACAGTGCACGACAGGATATAATAAAGGTTGTTGTTCATACGAATTTAAAGAAGGGAAAAGCAAAACAACACACTGCCCATTTCCAAGCTTGAACCTTGTGCTTGATTTCGGACATATGTTTAAGTATCACGCAATCACTCGGAAGCAGTACCCAATCCCGATTTAGCAGCTGTTTAAGTAGCTTTTGAGTAGCAACCTTGTACCGGGCTTACCAAAATGAGCTATATAATTTTCTCATTCTAAACTCAACGAAAAAGTTCAAAGCTCAAACGCATTGAAAGAATAAAGAGTGCATAACAGCCAATGCCCGGCACGCCATTACCTGAGCGCCTTTCAGACTGAGAACTATGCTCGCTTCTATTGGGTTGATGTAGATGTCTGGTAGCATTTCATTAGCTGTGGCGGTAAGCGGTTCACAAGACAATTGGGAATACACATATGAGTTCGTATCCGACGTGTACGCCTAACCACGCATACCTTGTAGATTTACCATCAGATCGTTCAATCAGAATATCGATAGACAAATGCAAGAGATGCCCATTCGCTAGTGTGTTACATGTATGGCTACAAAACACCACATCCCAAGGTAGAATAATTCGGGTGACGGGCACTAAGCTTTATTGAAACACCGAACTGCAGATATTAAGCACATGTACCTTGTGAAGCATTCGCCTGCGGGATTCGTAGAAATGGCGGAGGATTCGAATGATCGTACTTGTGCATGTGGTCCCGGTGCTTCTCCATGAGCCGACGAAGCTCCACTACTTTCATAGTACCACCAGTCTGTTTTCATGTGAGGAAAATCAAGTAACATGTGATAAGAACAAATATTAGTCAAAATGGTGTAGAAAAAAAAATGGATAGAGCGATTTTTTGTCACTCATTACAATAAGCGAGACTTTCGTTGAGCGGAACCGTATACTTGAAGGTATCCAGACACGGACGAATAAGCACGACTCGGGTGTGGTTGTTGGCACCAGTACGAAGATAGGGAATGGAGCGTATATAATCATTCTCGAGGCAGATGGTATACATACAGAAGAAGCGGTTTAAGATACTGGGATGATTCTTGGTAATATGCGTTGACTATGAGTCATGCACAGAAATAAAACACTTTGGCCACTATGAGGTTAGATGCAAGCGATAGTACGGGCTTTACTAAGAGGTCAATGATCTTAGGTGTTATACTTTCTCTCCGGAAACTTAGAAGGATGTTCACGCTACCGCAAGGCGCAAATGTCGGAAAACACTTAGCCTATCGCACTTGAGCTTCGCGACTAATACTTACTTTGCAGAACGACTCGAACACAGGATCTCCATCTGATGTCTCTTCCTTGGTAGATAGCACTCCCATGAGAAAGTGCGTGACCACCCCACGGTTCAGAGAGCCGCCCGAGAAGAAGCCTAGATCAAAGTAAAGATTTCGAAACAGCTTAACTTTGCCATACAAATCGAAATGCAATGGCTTAGCACTCGAGGGCAGAAATTGAACGATAGTTTTGTTTGGTAATATATTGGATGAACTTCTGTTGAAAGGAGATACGCGCAGTGGATGTCGCGATGAGTTGGTGCTGTGTGGCTCACTAGCATCAACCATTGCCAGAGATGCGCATTCATACAATCTAGCATGACATATCACCGACCCAGAACTTTATATAATATGTGAGTGATAGTATTTGCGATGATATACTTAATTGCAAAAATAAATAAATAAATATAGCATGGTCCATCTCTTGCAGCGAGGACTTGATATGTGACAGAGACAGATGTGGTTTAGACATTGGCATCGAAAGTAAACCCGTGGAAACGGAGGGCTTGCCATGCACACACACATACCGCCTATCACCACCACGTCCACGGGATCTGCCACCTCATCGAGATGTTCGGGTTTGACTTTGATCCAATAGTTCGCGTCACGCTTAGCTGGAACATATGGTGCATCCACGTGCTTGAGCATGATTCCTTCTTCCCGATTCGATATGGCAGCATTGTAGTATCTGTCATAGATGAAGTTGGTGAGGGCAGGTAAGATGGGGAAGGTCTATTGGTCATTTAACCTGAACATCTAAACCCATTGAATTGCAAACTAGGAACTACTGGGCAGGCAGTAAACAAGAGCACATGGACAGAAAGTACCCCAATTAGTTTAATACTTAGTAAACCATACGAATGAATGACGGGAACATGCGATACTGGTACCGATTTGTGTTGTGACCTTAACTTACTTGCAAAAGTCGTCGTATGTTCTCAATGTATGCACATCACTGACTTGCATATACCCTGGAACTTCCTTAATAGTCTCCTTCAGCATCTTCTGTCTTCTATGCAGCGGCAGGGTGATGAGTGATCGCCCGTCAAGATACAGAAGGTCGAACACAACATAGATGGGATGGATGTCTGGGGCTGCATATCAAAGTAACAACAGGACAAGCGATTGCGATTAGAACTATGTTATGAGAGTTGATTCAATGCACAAAATCACAATCACAGCAAATCACGCGATCGCGATTATACTACTGCTATGAAAAGTGCTTCGATGTCGGAGCTCTCACTCATTTTACCCTGAAAGTGGTGTGTATCGGAGAACCCTGAGCTATGCAGGTGTATACTTTCCTGGAATGGGACTTGTAGACTGTGCATGGATAGCAAGCAAGAGAGGAACACAAGATGGAACTGACGTTTGAAATACAGGAGAGTGACGAAAAGAAGAACCACAGTTTTACCTCGCTAGTGTTTTGTACAAAGTGATCAAATTGTCATGAATACACGAATGACGGATAGCTATTATCAACCCATAATACAAGCAGTTCAACTCCTTCCTGGTACACGCTGTTGGCATCTTTGTGTATTATCCTCCCCCACACTCTTCACACATGCTTACTTCTGCATACATGCTCTCGAAGTACAAAATACATTCCTAACTACGCAAGAAAATAAGCTTTACCCTTCAGCAATGGACTTTGAAAGCCATATACCCTCACAACCACACCACACACATGACATACTTTCTTCCTTGTACATTTTCTTGACATCAGTGTCACCCTCTGCTCGGGGTGTAATGCACTGCAGCTCAGCATTCCACTTACACAGCTCGGTGTCGATGATACAATCTGTCTTCACTGTAGTACATAACAGTGGGAGTCAAGTATTAATCGACATTTACAGGCTAAACCTCATTGCAGCAGTGCAAAACCTTGTGCGCCTGCTACAAAAAGTATTAAAAGATGCACTTCTGGTACGTGGTACAGCAACACAGCAGAAGTCCGATTCAACCTATTTGACGTACCATTCTCCCAACAGGGCCCGAGTTTGGCCACAAAGGATTTCGTATACAGATTGTCAAATTCGTTGAACTTGCGACTCAGAATTTTCATGTGCGGAGTTCCGTCGAATCCCTTCTTGAGATGGATGATGAAGCGATCACCGTCGTACTTGATCTCGCTACGCATTTCTTGACCCTTCTCAAACTAAAATAAAATATATAGGGATGGAAAGCAGTTGAGAGAGCGGTTGGCGTATTACACAGGCGCTTATACACCGGCGTATCTGGTTACGAATGCTGCCGTAGTGCGTATCCGCATTTATTCACCCTTACCATACTAATATATAACATAGGGATAAGATGAGATGAAAGAGCGGCTGTGCAATAGATAACGCGAGTGAAAGTGCGGATGTGCAATAGATAACGCGAGTGAAAGAGCGGTTGTGTATGAGGCCTACACATAGAAATCGGCATGTTTCTTTACGAATACTGCCATAGTGCGTATCCGCATTTTTCGACTCTTCTCAAACTAAACCATCAATTAAAAACAGACGAGAGAGCGATTGTGTGAGCGACTTACGCTTCAATAAATCTGCATGAACTCTATACGAATACTTGCAGGTGCGCGTATATTAGCAAGGGAAAAAAATAAGAAACCATCCCGAAGCTAGCAGTATCACTATGTTGGGAACGATTTTGCAGCCAGCCATAGTAAAGCAGTTATCAATTGATCGAGTGTGCGACGTTAGCCACAAACTTGTCGCTTCAAATATGAATTTGCAACGGCTACAAAGTGTGGCACAAATACGTAACTTTATAGGATCTTGCATCCTACAAAAATGTAACAGCTACATGATGTGGCATGATACGTGAACAAGTGATCAAAGAACAGCTCGGTACGTAAAAAAGGACACTGGTAGATGTCTTGTTTTCGTGAATGACGTACCAGGGCTTTAATTTCATGCAAGTTGGACTTCTCAGATAGCATCGGCACAAAGGCCTTACCCAGCCGTATATCCAATACGTTCGGCAGCACATTCGGGTCTCTGCACTCGTATACCATCTGCAAATGGCCCGTGATTAAAACACCGAGTCGTACCCAAAATTAGCACAGGATTGATTTGTTTTGAAACATAAAATACTGGTTTTATGTTGAATAACAAATATAACCTTATAGGCGCTCAGTGTAGAAACATGCATAGTCGGCAATATAAATACATTGCTCTTAAACCGCACAATCGACGCGGATTTCCTGATGTACGTAGACATTCGCTTTAATATAGGACGTACGGGGTTAAACAGGATTGGCGGATTCCAAATCGCACACAGAGCCGGAAATGTATTAACAATGTCACTGCGTGACTAAAGATAACTTAATATATGCTCACCCATAAAACATTGAGAAAGTGATATAGGAATGAAGCTGTATCGGGATGGACGTAGGTCACATTGCAACATACCTCCTGGAAACTGGAATTAGTATGCATGAATTCTGCAGCTCTACTATGGTAGGCATCCAGGATCACCTTTTTGCCGATCCCTATCTTTAGGCCGTCCCCTAGGATGAGTTTGGCAAAGTATTTGTTCTCACGGGCAGACATACAACGCAACACCTTACTGAATACCTGGAAATTAAATGACGCATATGAGTGACTAGAAGCAACCATCGGCAGTCCAGTGATATAACTATAGGAATACGAAACCGTCGCTTCGGAACCGTTAGAATGGTTTCGGGGTTACATGGAACGCTTCTTCGGGAATTCCAATATATACGTCGCAGATAGGTGATCTATCGCAACTCGGCCGCGTTGTAAATGCCAACCACCGTCGCAAATTCGCTCGCTTGGTAGGAATTATCAATGAATACTCTTTGGGGCAAACACGAGAGCAGCAGTACGAGTCAATACACTATAGAGTCTAATTTGAGCAGATATTCAATTTTTTTGGGCTTTGAGTCATGTATCGGCCGGTGCATGCATGTCTGGTGGCATGGTGTCAGATGATCGCTGAAGTCGGAGAGTATGTGCTATCATTACCCTGTGAATAAAGTATCATAAAAGAGCCGTACTGTGCGTAAGTAGGATATACATCGAGATAACTTTACCTCCTTCCGCAACCGCTTCTTCTCAATATTCTCGGCTTCATGCGCATGCTCCAGTGTGGTTAGCATATCAAGCACTTCCGCAATAGTAAGTCTGTTCTCGGTGCGAGTGTTAGGAACGGCCTTTTGTTTCAGCACGATCTCCAGCAAACTTGAATAGTCCCCTGCACACGCCAACGTACACGGAGATTCAGTTTTATATTTATAACCCCTTGTTAATATGCCAAACTAAGAGAAGCATGGACAATCAGCTACAACCGAATGCTCACAATGCTCACCACAGCGTATAACGCACGTCTGTGCTTGACGAACAGCGTGCACGTTAATATAAACGAATTAAGCTATCGATCGGTTCCCGGTGTATGTACAGCAATACCGGTATCATTCTTCGCCGTGGACTCAAACTTTTTGAGAGATTCGCAGTCGTAAGATGATAGCTGGTATGTATCGGCGTACACAACAGCCAGGGCCTTCTCCTTGAGTCCAAACCTCAAGCGAGTCGTATCCTGGGGTTAATTGGCAGAAAACAGCAGAAGTTTAGAACCCCAGTTTATCCGACTCCTCCTAAATTTGTCATTGAAACAAGCGGCAAGTCAATGGATTCGATATACTCTCTCGTCTTCAAGACAGACATGAGAGAGAATTTAACTGTGCATTCGATCGAACGGGTTAAAGACTACAACAGTTCGTCCGACTATTTCCTACTCAGAATTATTGAACAATAAACGCCGCCACCATTTTCATCTCAAGTCGAAGGCGACATACTGATTGTGGCGTGAGTATCCGAAGCAGTGGAAACAGATTGTCATCCGTCCTGCGCCATTCATCGATATATTCCTTTACGCGAGAGTACGATTTGGCCTGCTTTGATGCAACCAACTTCTTGGACGCCTCAATCCAATCGCTGCAAGAATCATTCAGATAATGTAGAAATACGACATAAAAACTTCAATACGGCTGTGCCTTCGTCTTCACACCAACACACAATTGCACAGGACTTATGCAATAGAACATCGTTCTTAATTAAAGTAGCTCCATATTCTATACGGAAATCATACAATAAATATGTCACCAAGTCAATCAGAGTACGCTCCCAGACAACCACACACATCTTACACATTTCATGTATATGTAGACACAATAGCGAACAAGCTTCTCCTCTAACGTGTACTACTACTGCTATCATACTTGATTGTTTACTACACACCATAGCTCGTAGAACTTCCGTGTCTTAGCACAGGGGCCCATAGGGATGGTCTTGACATCCACCACGTCATCGTCTACCTCCCACATTATGCATTAAGTTTGGATGTCCTCGGGAGTCTCGGGAATCAGAAGAGCTTTTCAAATTGTACGAGAACAAACAAAGTATATTTCAAATGAGTAACAATCACCACACACAAATATATAATCCGAAAAAGTTTATTATGTTGAGGACTAACTGAAATGAGTGTTGGCGATGCCGGGCTTGAATCTGATATTGAGACCGAACAAGAGTAAAGAGATCTTGATTTAACACACCGGGAACATCAACTGATGCATGGTTTTAAGGTAAGAAAGACGCATCGATTTAAGAGATCTTCTTGATTCAACACACCGAGAACATCAACTGATGCATGGTTTTAAGGCAAGAGAAAGACGAATCGATTTAAGAGATCTTCTTGATTCAACACACCGAGAACATCAACTGATGCATGGTTTTAAGGCAAGAGAAAGACGCATCGATTTAAGAGATCTTCTTGATTCAACACACCGAGAACATCAACTGATGCATGGTTTAAAATGGGAGCGATAGATGTAAGTGGGACGCTTTTGCGTCAGGATGAAGTCACTGACGAGCGTCGTTTATCAAAGGTTTCTACTAGTAGTCCCCAACCCCGGGCCCTACGCAATAATTTTTGACATAGCCTTCTCTACGATTTGGCTTTACAAAAATACTTTTTGTGGGATTAGGGATTTAGGGATTAGGGTTTAGTGGTTTAGGGTTTTAGGGTTTAGGGTTGATCTCCAAGCCGTTATTTTTATGTATATAAAAAGGGTTACAATGGATTGAGGTATCTCTTGCCAGTGACAATCGGAATGGCGCGAGGCGGACGGTGCCTTTACGTACTGTCCGGTGAACACCCAACCTATGGTATGGGCTGTGAGGCTGTACCGGATAAGAGCTCGTGGAGCTTGATCAGCGATAGCCTTTAGAATGGAGGCGACGGCAAGCCATTTGTGATTTTGAAGTCAGTTAGTTTTTGGGCGACTCTGTTATGGTCTTTACAGCGGGATGCTTTCAGTAAATGTAATTTACTTCTGATGTCCATCTCCCAATGATCATTGCCTCGAATTCGGGTATGTCTGCTTCAAAGAATGCGGCGAGGCCGCCGATTCTGAAGGTGTAGAATATCACGGGCACTGAAATTCTGGTTAGCGAGGCCAGCGGCTTTGAGTAACTGGCGAAATTAGCACGTGAATTTTGATTTGAGCATGGTTCGGACTCGAGTGAAAACAGATGGGCGGCGTCTGGTTCATTGGACGTGCGGATCAGTCAATTGATCAGCTTGCGGTATGTGCAGATTTTTGCCATGATCTCTGGAAGTTTTGGTATTACATTGGCGGTCGATTGATCCAGGCTAGTCATTGACATCGGCAGATGGATTCCGGCATACTGGTCGAAGATCTGCACACCTTTCCCTCGGTGTATAAGTTGGCGTGGACGGTGAGCTCTCCGGAGCGCATGATGACCCAGACACCGAACAATATAGCTGTGTAGAGTCGGACTGTCTGTATGCCGTGTTTGTTGCGGAAATATACGGAAGTAATGTTTTTCAAAACAATAGTTGGCGTCAGGGAACGTCACTTCCTGATGAAGCTACATTGCCATCAGCCACTCGGCGAAGGCGGATTGTCGTTTTTCGTTCTTGCGGTAGGGATAATATTATTTATCCCAAAAGAGATAAGTTACAATGTATGTACATATGGTATGGCTCTCATAGCCGTTGCAGTGGTTCGGGAAAGATCGATGGAAAGAAGTGGTTGACCTCCTAAGTAGCGTACCCACCTTTGTGATACGGATCGGGTCTGCGCCGTATAGGGCGTGCGGATATGAGATATATACACGTCGATGGACGAGAGTTGGAGGCATCTGACGTTCAACCAGCTTGTGAGCATAATTTACGAGAGTGTGTGGTCAGGAAATTTTCCTGCGAAGATGTTCTGGCAGAAAGTCCATAAACCGCCGCTGAACAATGTGTGCTGTTGCGGTTGTCGACGGGCGCGTAGCGTTTGCGAGCGTTTTGCAAGTGCGATCGAATAGAGTTTGTACGAGGATTTCCGGGCGAAGGATTTGGGGTCTATGCAGGTCGGATTAAAATGGCAGGGTCCACCCAGTGATATACTAATTGTAAGATAGAAAACTGTGATTCATACGTGAGTGAGTGAGGGGCAGCTTTGTTTTATAGTGTTAATGTAATACGTTATGACGTGAAAGAAGTGTGTGTTTGTATTGAAGTGTTAACAAATTTGAAAGTGTATTTGAGTTTGGGTGTAGATTGGGTTGCAACGTTATCGCTGTGGGCATATCGGCGATAGTGTTGGATATACCCGGGAGGTGTCATAGCTGTCTATTTTAGAAGGTTATGGAGGTTTGTGCAGATTATTTTGCAATCGTATGTAATCTCTATTTTGGTGAGGAACCGGAGGAGATCTAACATAGTTGAGATATTGGAGGATCGTGACTTGATATCTGCAGCTACAGTTTGATTGTCGCAGAAGATTTTAACATAGTGTCTGCGAATACTGTCGCTTAAGGTAGCGAGCATTCAATCAACCAACATTAGCTCTAGGGCACATATGTAATACGGTTTTGATGGTTCTGTGTGACGCGACTGGGTGAAAGAATTGAGTTCCGCACCGTGTTTAGCGGTTGCCAGTCTATGTAAAACCAGAGCCCGTCTGGGCTGTAGCCTCTCCCACCCAATGTGCTGGAAGCATTGGTAGCAATAATGCGCTAACTGGGTAGTGGTATACGCATACGGGTAGTCCCTGACCAGTGTTTTAATATACGGTGGAGTGAGTCACAGTCGCCGGAGATCGCTTGTGGGATGCGTACAAACTTATGCTAAGGTCATTCTTTGCCCCCTGGTAAAGCCACATGAGGTGCTGAACGTATGTGCGAGCTTGTGGCAGGATAGCTGTGAGTAAAATCACATAACCGGCCAGTTGGGATATCTCGCGGTATGTTACTGAAGTGCATTTCGAAAAGTTCAGCAGTGATTTGGTGTATTTCGCACATTTCTCTGCTGATATGCTGACAGTTCGCAGCATTAAGTCGAAAAGAGCCCCGATCCAGACTGCGTGTGAAGCACCGCTATAAATTTCGCTGCAGAAATTTCGATGTCGAAAGTAGCGAAGGTTGCTATGATAACTGAAATCTCTGCGTTGTATAGTGCCTTAAGATGGAGGAAAGCGAAATCATCAACCCAGCGCGCGAAGAGCAAACGTAATTCGCGTAGGGTCTAGTCAAGGGCTGTGGCGAGCTTCTCGTATAAGGCCAGTGAACTCGCTAAGTCAATTGATAGGCATGTAATAAGCCGGGCCTCCACATTAGACTCTATCTTATAAACGTACTCTTAAGCAGTACGTAAATTATAAACGTACTCTTAATAGTACGAGGAACTTAAGTTTCCTAAATATACTCTTAATAGCACGAGGAACTTAAGTTTCCTAAAATGGGTTTTAATGGTTTTATTAATTAATACCTTTTCCATTTTACATATCAGATATTTGGACGAGGCCATCAAAAGAACTCAGTAAAATACCAAACCTAAAGAGTTGGTCTAGTTCTATTAATAGTACTTTATTTACTTTCCAACTTTATTTATATCTGAATACTTCGGTAGCGAGATGGCTCAACCGAATATAGGTTTCTAGGGACTATTGACGCTACCTAGTTGATCCTCCGATCAGCCAACCAGATTTACCAGTCCGATGAAGGCTATGTCGGTAATTCTTGATAAGTGGCATGTTATTGGTTAAGACAATAACTAAGGACATCAAGAGTATTTTTATTTTTTTATTTATTTTTTCTAAAGATAGGATTTTATGAGTCTCTCGGATTTGCCCCAATGCAACATACTATAGTTTCTAATAGAGCGACAATGAAACACTAAAAATAAAATCCCTTCGGCGGAAACAGTACTGAGAGGATTATATATAGACAATGTCTCAGCCTCACAATCCCTCAGAGTATTGCTGTTTTCACAAAGCATACCTAACTTTACTAAATGTCTTATTTCGTGTATTTACTTTGATATATTCACGATACTTAGAATTAGAATTTACCTACGCGTTTAATTATTCTAAGGCGTTAATATCGCATTGAGAGACCGAATCTTACACATTTTAAAGTTAGCAAAGGTATTAATTACATAGACTACTTAAGCGTAAAGGTAGATTAACTACCACAAAAAATCTTGTCCAAGCTAGTCCTTAAGAGACAAGCTAGTAGTCATAAGTTAAGATTATGACCAAGAAAGACAATACTCCTACTAAGAAGCGTAAAGCTGAAAAGAAGAAGATGGAGAGAGAAGCCGCTAACGCTGCCGCAGCTACTGCTGCCGCAGAAGCAACCGCTGCTGCTGCTGATGCGTTTAACCGCACTGTAGCCGAAGTACTTGCCTCTGACAATGATAGTCAAAAGGACAATGCTTCAGATAAGGATGTAGCCACTCCGATTAAGGAAACTACTCCCACTGACAGAGCCCGAGGGCCAACTATTGCCTCAACTTCAAAGCTTGCATTTAGAAAACAAAGAAGTGAGACAAGGGACACGTCTCAAGACGCCCCAACCCATTCTTCTGACGAAACTCAGAAAGGAAAGTCCCCAATTATAAGGGAGTCCCCAATTATAGGGGACAAGGACAAATCTCAGAAGGAACCTATTATGGAACCAGAAGAGGAGACAAGCTCAAGTGGCAAACCCGAATCTACATCCGAAACTATTAAGCCAACGCGCATAAGTAAGTTAATTACTGGAAACGCTGATCTTAAGAATCAGTTAGCTACCATTATGAAAGACTTGACTGTCGTTAAAATCTCCCTGGCAGATGATAGGAATATCACTACCCAAGCTGTGATAGTTAAGATGTCACAGAAGTACGACATTATAGTCGGAATGAGCGATTTACTCACTCTAGGTATAACCGTAACGGGTCTACCAAATAATATAGATCCATAAAAGGATCAATCAGACGATAACTGTCTGAATCCATATAAGGGTTTTACCCCCGTCAGACACAGTCAAGGTATTAATACCTGACTTTGCGAATAAAATCATGGATCTGATTCTAGTTAATAAAAAGATAAAGATCACAGATTGGGCAAAATTCCGCTTTAACGACGGATATGCCAGCCTTGACTTAACCAAAATAGACTTTACACAGTTAAAGTGTCCCTCAAGGAACTATGTATCCTGGAGACACGAGGCTGTGGTAAAAGAACAAGTTGAGAAATGGCTAGCAGATGGAGTGATAGAAATCAACTATCAACAGACGCCAGTTAACTTGGCGCTGCTAGCCGTAGACCAACATAACTCTGACGGATCGTTTAAGAAAGTCAGAGTATGTTTAGATATGAGTCCAATAAATAAATTATTGCCGACTCATAGCTTTCACTTACCTCGTATTAACGAGCTACTGCGAAGGATGGAAGGTGCTACAGTATTTACAACTATAGACCTTACACAAGGATACCATCAAATACAGGCATATGAACTACATCGTAAATACTTTAGCTTTACGTGGAAAGGTAAACAATACCGGTTCAGAGGTGCACC